TGAAAGGGTTAAGGCCCTTAAGGGTTGGATTTTGGGTATAAATACCCCTCCCCATGCGACGTCATTTTAGGGAGGTAGTATATGCATAATTTACGAATGGGTAAACCCCGTCTGCGGTCCTTTAGCTTTGTAATCTTTACAATTTAGTCATTAGAATTAGATTTCTATGAATTTTAATTGGTTTTCCGAATTTTATTTTATTTCCATTTTAGTCCTTAACAATATATGTTTATATATATATAGGTAAAATATCAGATTTAATCATTTATATTTTAATTCTGAATAGTTACTTAGGGTTAAATTACACTGTTAGTATCTTGATTTTGTATTTTTTATATTTACGGCCATAGTTTTATTACTTTATAATTTAATCCAATAATCTTAATATTTTCAATTTTAAATAATATTACAGGGTTATTTATAATTGTAGTACCTAATATATTAAGTATTTATTATAATTGCCTTGAACTTTTATATTTTCATGATTTAATCAATAAATTTATTATAATTATTATATGTATTTGAGTTATATTATTTTATATAATAAATCATAAAATATCTCCTTAACTGATTAGGAAAGTATTTTAAATGATTATTGATACAAAATAATACTCCCGATGTTTCTTGAAGGGATCATAAATTAAATTAAACTCGAATTTATAAATTTTATTGTAAAGACAATTAATTAATGAACAAAGGTATCAATTTTGGCGTTGTAGTGGTGCTAATCCTTTTCCACGTGTGACCGACTCCAGAACTCATTTTCTGGTAAGCGGACTTCTTTTGTGTTGTTTTAATAAATTTTTATAATTGTTATTAAAATAATTAAGTGTTTTTGGTGTCCAATCACACATTGATTTATGATTGGTGGCGACTCCCTAAATTGTGTTTCATCTTATGTAAAAAGAAAAGCATCGACTTTTTCGAGACGAGATTTAGAAAATAACCAAAATTATTTTTGTCGGAAAATATCATTTCGACACATGTTTTATCAATTATTACTATATGGTCTGTAATAGTAAATTAGGACTGTTTAATTTGACTAGTTTAGTTTATTAATATTTTGGTATGCTTGAATATATAGTAGTTAAAATATTATGTTTTTAAATGGTGCAAAATTTTAAATAGAAAAATAAAATAGTTTTAAAAGTTGAAATTAGGAATATTTTAAAAGAAGTAAAATTTTAAGCAACTGTGAATATTGATCGTTAGTCAGTTTGATGTGACATATATGGATCATATTCTTAGATGTTTACGGGCTATGAATGTTATAGAAAATGTGTAACAATACCCACCAAAAAGAAAAATAATAATAGGATATTGAAATAAATTTATATTCAATGTATAGATGTGTGTAATTTTAAGTCATATATAATCATTCTAATATATGTAAGTCATAAGTAATTATTTTCAAAAATGAAATAAATAATATCAAAGGGTGTGATATATAGGTTTCTTAAAACTTTAGGGTATTACTATATGCTATTAAAATTTATTATATGATACATTAACAATAAAGTTATTTTATTTCTACAAGTGAATTAAAAAATCATCATATGTCTCGTTTATTTATTTTCTTTTATCTAAATATTCTTTATTTTTGGTTGAGAAATTAAAAACAAAAACCGGCCTGCTATATTAAATAATTATGGTATTTTTAAATTAGAATTGCATCAATTTTTTTTTTACATTTAAGAATAAGATCATTTGAGTTACTTTTGAGAAAAAATATTTAATTTTAAAAAAAAGTAAAATATAAATTTAATTTAAATATTAGTTTGATTAGAATTATAACAATTGTATAACCTAATTTATGATTAAGTGTTCGGCTCTTTTACAGGGGTCCCATAATTGGATCTTATTAGTAGCATTTACAAACTTTTGAGGTGACGATTAATTCAACTAAGATATTTGTTTGGGTACCGGTAGGAATTGGTTCAAGTGGTAAGTAGTTTGATATCGCTTAAGTAAGGTTTTGAGTTCGAATATTTGTGTATGTAGAAAATCTCTGCTGGCAGGTTCACCCATCAAAATTATGTGTGAGTCAGTCCGGATTAATCAAGGTGAAGCGTTGGAACCAAGAGGGAAACCAAAAAAATATTTATTTGGGTATAACTTCATCAATTTCTTAGGGTTTCTCATTTTTCCTTAATCTAAGTTTTTTTTCAATATTATTATGCCACATTTCTCTTTCCTTTTTATTTTTATTTAATCGATGACGACATCAATTTTTATGTTTGTTGTCGACCACCAGTGATTATTATTTATCTTGTTTTTTCATACTATATCCTTTGTTTTCCTTTTTTCTTTATTTTTTTTCACTTATAAATAAGAATATATGTACTTGAGACACGCTTTTCTCTGCTCTTGTTTCATATTCCTTAAGGCATTTGGTACGTTTTTCACATTTGTGGTAGTGTTGGTGCTCACACAAAGACCCTTACGAAATTTGTTTTCTGATTGGTTTGTCAGTTGTTAGGTATAGTTAAACCACCTCTTTAGTAAAAGGTTCTTTGCCGATATAATAAGAATTGTGTAGTGAAGCAGCCTGTCAGATAGTTTGGTTTGCTTACCACACTCCTTTATCACTTTGTAAAGTGTTCATTCGATAGAGACAACAAGTTTTTGTGAAGGTTACTGGATTTTTTTTATGTTGGGTGTGGCATCATTCTCAGGAAATGTTTTTTTTCTTTGTATCTTTGGGTTTAATATTTTGTTTTATGCATGCGTTTTTTTGGTGACTGTCATCCTTATTTTTCTCTATATGCTTGGTGCATTGTAATTATTATTTCCATTGTATTTATTAACGAAATCCAGTTGTCATTATTAAAAGAAAACTTTACCAATTTCTTGGCCTAATTCATTACTCTTGAAGGTAAAATTTAATTTTTATTTTAATTGAATAAGATTATGAACTATGTTGTAACCTTATTTGTTTGAATAAAATTATTTTAAATTGGCATGTAATATGCTGATGACTACTAATGTAATTAACCCTTATTTCGAGCAATATGCATGGCATTGTAGGGGCAGGCAAGTGTGGGTTCAATTAAGTTGTCTTGCAAATGCAGCTCATCGTTACATTATTTACTTATTTATCTATTTGATTTTCAATCCTTTTAAGTCAATAAATATTTTAAAATTTTATTTTTAAGTTAATAAATATAAATATTTATTAATATCTGAAATACTTCCTCTTTATAGATAAACAAGTATATATTCTTTTTACAAGAAATAAATATATTTTATTTCTAAATGTGTATATATATATATATATATATTATGTGTTGAATTGCATTGCATGGGATGAATTATTGATTCATGTGAGAATGTGCATAATTGGAAGGTTCTTAGAAGTAACTTAACTCTATAATAATGTGTATAATCTTTTTAATTGCATACTATTAATATATAATATGATATTGGATGGTCCATTATCATATGCTTCTCCCAACACCCAACTAATACCATTATCATATGCATTGGATTTTTAAACTTTTCGTATTTCTCATTATGCATACAAGATTTTTTTTTTCGGTTTTTAAGGTTTCGTCTGATTAGTTTAGACTGACCTAGGATGCACATCTGATTTTGATAGGTGAGTTTTCCACATCTGATTTTGATAGGTGAGTTTTCCATCAGAATTTTTTTTACATACACAAAGACTCGAACTCAATACTTTACTTAAATTTAATTGATCGAGAATTTATTAACACTTTTTTTATAAAAGTCAATATTCAAATTTTACTAACATCTCCCTTTGACTTTATCGAACAAATACATACATGTTACTTAAATTTTAATATTTGTAACACTTTTGTATCGTCCGAATTATAACTTGTTTTGTACAAAAGCATAGGAGAAATTGTCCACATACACCCCATTAGGGTGTAACTCACTAATTAAGTGGTCCATTCTCTAGGAACTACGTAAATAGGGTGTTAACGATAACTAATGGTGTAATGTTTATTTTGTAATTTTTGAAAGTATAGTGTCCAAAAAGATATCTTAATATAATTTAGAACTTTTTTTTACTAATCTAGGGTGATTACAATGTAGTATTTAGTGGCGAAACTCGGTGATAGAGTTTTGGGGCAACTTAAAATTATAAAAAAAATAGAGGTTTAAATTAGGATTTTTCAAAATTTTGAAGGGTTTAGTTTATATTTTTTCCAAAAAAATTAGGGTCTAACTACAATTTTTGAAATTTTGAAATGCTTGATAAGAATTCTTAAAAATTATGAGAGGGGTTTAATAAAGAACATTAAAAAAATTAAAATTTAATTTGAATTTCTAAAATTTGGGGGGCAAATTGATTTTTTTAAAAAATTAAGGGTCAAATTAGAATTTTTTTTAATCTTGGGGTCGTGGCCCCCTCTAGTCCAGCTTGTGTTTGCCTCTTGTAGTATTTATTCATAATTTTTCTTACTCTATTGATAATATACACACCTTACAGACTCAATTGTTTAAAATTAAATTCTCTAAAAATAATAATATTTTGTTTTACTATTGACTCAATTGTTTAAACTTGAATTCTCTAAAAACAATAACATTTTGTTTTACTATTCGGATTGATGAATAAATTTAACATAATTTAAAATAAGATTTAAGATTTAGAATTCATGATTTAGAGTTTAAGACTTAGGATTCAAGGTTCAGATACTTTACCATGGTTGTTAAATATGTCTTAAAATTTACATAATACAATCAAATATGATAATATGAACATACAAAACAGGTTTTAGGAGTTGATCAATGATATACGAAAAATGTAGGGCGAAGTGGTTTTAGGAGTTTGAAGATCGAACGTCCCATCTCCCTCCACGTGTTGAGAAGCCATGGAATCATGAACCTTGATGTGACATACACATGCAGCCATACAAACTTAGCTCCCACAGTTTATATTATTGTGGGTTTCGCTCTTCTCTTTGTCTTCCTCCTCTCTGTCTCTCTCTCTCTTCATCGAGCAACCAAACAGGTTGAATCAGGGAAAATCTGAAGGTGTGTATTGAAGAAGATAGAGAAAAGAAAAGGGTCAAAGAGAGCTGTTTGTTCCAATGGCTAACGTGCTTGGAGCTCATGATTTGAACTTCAAAGAGACGGAGCTGTGCCTCGGATTGCCTGGTGGCGTTGGTGGAAATGAAGTTGACAGCTCTCAGAAAACCACCGGCAAAAGAAGCTTCTCCGAAACTGTATATTTGAAGCTTAATCTTCAGGCTAAGGAAACCGGCATGGATCTAAACAAAAACCTAGAAAATGGCTCCAAAGAGAAACCAGTTTCAACCAAAGATCCTGCAAAACCACTGGCCAAGTAAGTGACAAGTCATAAGATGGACGTAAATTTATGTTAGGGACGAACTTATATGGAGGTCATTATGACTTTTCAGGGCGCAAGTGGTGGGTTGGCCACCGGTTCGATCTTACCGGAAGAACGTTATGGCCGGCAATAAGAACACCGGCGAGGAGAATGAGAAAGCTAGCAGTGCAGTGTTTGTGAAGGTGAGTATGGACGGTGCACCATATCTTCGCAAAGTCGACTTGAAGATGTACAAGAGCTACCAAGAGCTGTCTGATGCTTTGGCCAAGATGTTCAGTTCATTCACCATGGGTAAGCACATACGGTTCAGTTTCAACGATATCGATATGAATGTCATTCGTAGTGTTTCGTTGTGTTGCGATTATAATTTAATGCTATGATGTCGTATCAATCAAAGGTAATTATGGATCTCAATGAATGATAGACTTCATGAATTTCGTTGTGTTGCGATCATAATTTAATTCTATGATGTCGTATGAATCAAAGGTAATTATGGATCTCAAGGAATGATAGACTTCATGAATGAGAGCAAGTTGATGGATCTTCTCAACAGTTCTGATTATATGCCAACCTATGAAGATGAAGATGGTGATTGGATGCTCGTGGGTGATGTCCCGTGGCAGTAAGTGCCTCACTCTAGATATAGAACTCTACCCTTTTTTTCTATTTTATTTTTAGTTAAGTTAGATCAAATTTCTAAATAGGACATCGAGCTTAGTTAAAAAAATCTACTCATTTTACTCGACAGGATGTTTGTTGATTCATGCAAACGCTTGCGTATAATGAAAGGATCGGAAGCAATCGGACTCGGTATGTTCAAACTTTTGTTTACATTTCATTTAGTACCATATGTTCAACAAGAATGAAAAATCATGAAAAAACTGCATAATTTTGCAGCTCCAAAAGCAATGGAGAAATGCAAGAGCAGAGGCTGAAACAACAAGATCCTGGAATTAAGCCTTGCTTTGGGTTTGTGTTTATGTATAATATAGTTGGTATATATAGATGTGATTGAAGATGTGATCATAGGGACATTTGTAATAGGAACAATGAACTTGAAACCTCATATTGCTGTCTTGTTTGTTTTGCTTTTGTGTTGGTTGTCATTTATGTGTTTTGTTCTATGTTCCTTTCTTCTTCCCCAGTTAATTTTAATGCTAATTGTACTGTTTTTCTTATCCCAAATCAAAAAGATTCTTCATATCATGTATAATTCCATATATACATTGTTTATTTTGTTGATTTAATTATTGTATTTAATATGGGGTTTTTATATATATAATTAAAATATTAGTGGTTGATTTGAAAATATTAGGATTTTGAGGACCCCAATGAAGGATGGGGGAACATGACCACGTGAAGGGTATAGGGGCATTCATTCATAGCACATTAGTTTATATATACTTTATATAACAAGTGAATTTTTATGGGATCATTAACCTTTTGGTCATTTTTTTTATAATTGTTTTTATTCTTATTTCTACATTCATCCATACTATGTAAAATTCATTAATTTTAGGCTTAATAAAAAAATAAGTGAATAAATTATGTCTCGAAAAAAGTTTGAGTGTCTAAAGAATTTTTCGCTAAAAATAAGTGTCTAACAATTTCATCGGAGCACTTTTAGGTGCCTAGACCGTAACAACCGTTAAATTGGGCTATTAGGTGACACATGTCACGTTTTGATAATTTTGGAAATTTATTTAAAAAATAATATTTAAAAAAAACAGCATGTGCCCTCTCCCCCTTCCACCTTCCATAATCGTCGGTCACAGGTCGGTCAGCCATGACCTTAAACGCCACCTTCATCAGCACCAACGTCGATCCCTAATCAAATCCCTATTGACATTTCATCATAAACTGTCATCGTTTGTCGTGGAGAAACGTTCAAAGGTTCATTGGATTTTAAACCATTATCGTTGTTTTTCGTCAATTCTGACGTCCATAAGCCACACCACCACCACCACCACCATTCGAACCACTGTGCAATTTCAATCAAAACCCACATGTTCAACATCGATTATGGTCGAAGATGGTCGGCGACGATTAGTAATAAGGTTGAAATTAGACATTTTAGATTTTTGGAGTTTCTTTTTATAATTTCATTAAAAACTTAATTTTTTTATAAATAAAGTAAGCATTTTTAATTTTTAAAAATAATATTTTTATTATTAAAAAATTAAAAATATATATATAACAATAGGCATGTGTAATTGAGAAAACGTTAGACACCTATTCTTAACAAAAAATTCTTTAAGTACCAAATTTTTTGAGGTAAAATTTATGCACTTATTTTTGTATTAAGCCTTAATTTTACACAAAATATAATTATTATATGAATCTAAATAGATGATTGCAATAAAATTTTTATTATTTTAGTTTATGTAGACATTAGAAAATACTAGTACATAAAATTTATCTCCCAAACATCCATGTCTAAACAAATTTATATATATATATATATATATATATATATATATGTGTGTGTGTGTATGAAAGATTTTTTGGATCTGGCATAGTGAAAATATCGTGTCCAATGTCTTTGATATACTATTATATAATATATGGAATTTGATCATGTTATGTACAAACGAATCATGCAAAGTGGAAGGTAGCAGAAACCCATGTTTAATGTAGTTAATGGTGTGTCTACCAAGCCTGCATTGTACTGACAAAAGATATCACCAAGAGCACATTATGCATGTTGCTCACCAAGAGCAGATGTACCTGCATTTATGAGGATTCCTGCAAAAGCTCTCTCGAGTTCAAACATGCTTCATTTGCACAACTCGAAAGCTTGCAATCATAACGGCAACGGCACTCGAAGTTTGTAACCTCGAGCTCATGATGCATGTTGCTCACCAAGAGCTGCTGTACCTGCATCTATGAGGATTCCTGCAAAAGCTTTCTAAACCAGTTCCCCAACATTTCAGACAATCCCTCAAGGCAAACCACACTAAAATAGAGAGAAAGTAGACAATTTGAGCGAAATGCTAAGAGCAACTTGTTCCACTGACTAAGAAACTAGACCATGTCGAGGACAATCTCTCAAGTTCGAAACATGCTTCATTTGCACGACTCGAAGGCTTGCAATCATAACAGCAACGGCGTCCCAAGTTTCTCACTACACCCATTATCCAATTAACAAAAGCAACCAAGAGGACAATCTCTCAAGTTCGAAACATGCTTCATTTGCAAAACTCGAAAGCTTGCAATCATAACAGCAACGGCGTCCCAAGTTTCTCACTACACCCATTATCCAATGAACAAAGGCAACCAAGAGGCACAGAAAACCAGTATCCCAATACCAGGCACCATCTTCAGAAAATGGTGCAGCAGCCGATCAACCTACTCATTACCATATTTCCACTCTCCATATAAACAAATCGTTTTCGGCAAGCTTAAGAGCACCCTTTCTTATTAGCCATAGGGATTTAAATATCGGTAGCAAATCGTTTTCCGGTCATTTCTATGGTAGTAAATGTAATGAATGCTTACTGCAGTTAATTACATTGTATGGACAAAGACTGTAAATCAATGACCCCAACACTAGTTCTCGCTGCAATATATAAATTTGTTCCTATGATTGCATTAATTTTGCTCCTAATCTCAAACCCTTATTCCAGAATTTTCACAATAACCCTTTCCAAATCCTACAATATTAACAGTAAAAGCATTCATTTCAAGCTGATTCTAGAACATAACAGTTCAAAATGTTGAAAATATGCAAGACCAAGAGTTCGTAGGGTAAAAAAAACCAGTAGTTTCCAATAATTTTTCCATTGTCAGCAACAGACTGCGTTAACCAATTCTGCAAATGTACTATGTTCAATCCAAAGAAAGACACAAAAAATCAAATACCAGTATAATCCCCTCTGGGGCTATCGAGTTCTTCATCCCCACCAACCAGCATGTGCCCGTACGGCGACTCCAAATCATCCATTACCAAATCGTCCGTACTCCTCAACACAGCATGCTAGATCACGAAACCGATGGCGACGGCGACCAACACCAGAACGTTCTTCCAGACGCCGGTCAGGACCAGTCCGGCAACCGTCAACCCGACGAGCGCGGCGAGGACTAGCAGGTCGTCAATTAGGAAGCCGAAGATCACGACGGGCTCGTCGCGAGCCCATCGCGATCGCGGGCTAAGTAGAGGAAGAACCAAGCAAGGAGGATGACGAAAATTATGACGAGGGCTAGAGGGTGGTATAGTAGAGACAATAAGAGAATGACGAGGAGGATTATGCAGTAATTGAGGCGGAAATGGGTTACTTTCTGAGCTATTCGGATGGTAGCAGAGGAGGAGGAGGGGATGTCGACGACAGTGATGTCGAAGAAATCCCGCCATGGACGCCGGATTGCAGTGAGGGATTGGGTTGTGCGGGTGCATTTGATTTAAGGAATGGAAGATTATTGTGTTTGATTAAAGGAATAAAAAATTATTAGAATGTATATTTGATCAAATTATCTTTATTATATATTTGTTATTTTAATAAGTTAAATTCTACTATAATATTACTATAAGATATTTATAATTTTTTTAACAAAATTGAAAATATAAAAACGTTTAATGAAATGATAAATTTTTATTTTAACCCTTGAATTTCATATAAAAAAATTTTAATTATAGATTTTTCTGTAAATCTAAATAGTTTAAGGATAAATTTGTGATTTAACCTTCGTAGAATTTTTATTATTCAATGACCGAAGAAGGATATTTTTTAAAAGAAAAAAAATTAAGAGCATCTTAATTCAAAATGCTAGTAATCCAATAATACTTAAAAAAAGAGAAGTAATGATATTTCCGATAATATACTCAAAAAAAATCCACTATTGGTAATAAAACATTATCGAAAATGAAATTATCGACTAATCAAACGGAGGAACGTGGATTACATTCCCCTATAATCTTATATTACTTTAACCAAATAACCCCTTAAAGCTTGAGAATAAAGAAGACATATATTCGACAAAGGTCTGAGAAAAAAAAAGGAGAAAAAACCCAAAAAAAAAAATGAACTCCAAAAGGACGAAGAGTCGATGCGAGGTTTCTTCAGTAAATTCTTTGCTATCAGATAATTAAGTTCAAATTCTCGATTAGGTCCTTTCAATTTCAAAATTAAATAAAAAATTCCTTTAAAAAAGAGATTATTTTTTACAAACAATTAATCATAAAATTAACATATACCACCTTATAATTACTCTAGATTATCAAAAATTATTAATCATAAAATTATTATCCTTTCATTGATTTTATGTGATTTGATTATATAATAATAAATTTAAATTTAAATATTTGGATTTAAACACAATTTTAAAAAATAATAAATTTAAACTTCAAGGTTTATAAATTACATTTAGATTTGATAAAAAAACATTAAATCATCAATTAATTATTTTTATATCCCCATTTTAAAAATTATTTTAAAATATTTTTTTAAAAAATTAATCATTTGATAATAAATACTTAATTACTTTTACAATTGCTGGTGTTCAAGCTTTTAACCTCTAAGAACAATTATAATTTCTTTAACCACTAAGATAAATTAATATGTGCTAAATAATTACAAGTAGAAAACGATACATACTTGTTCAAATTTTAAGTTTTGAAAACTAATTATAAAATGTTACTCCCTCCGTCCTATAAAAAAATACCTTATTTATATTTTAAAAGTCAACTTTTTAAACTTTAGCATGATTATATTAAATATTTAAATTTATAAAATATATATATTTGAAAATTATTTTATTAAAGTTTTTAAAATTATTTTTACAAATTTTTATCAATGATAAATTTTAAATAATAATTAGTCAAAGTTTAAAAAATTGACAAAAAATCAATAATGAACATTTTTCGTGAGACAGAAGAAATATTATTTAAAATAAATTATTAATTAATTTATAAACTTATTTAAATTAATTAATTTCAAATTTATTTGTGGGACTCATAAAATTTCTGAGATAACACGGAGAAATCAAGAAAGTTTTTAATACACAAACAATTTCGCTATACGACCTTTCATTCACCAGTCCGATTCTTCGGACACGGCAACAAAACCGGACCAACTGAACCCTTGTTTATCTTCGAGAGCTCATGGCTACAGAAAGAAGGCCGGTTTCACACCGAGACATAATGGTTATTAGACATTTTCCAAGTCGAGAGAGATGCTTTCTTGATGGATCCACACCTCAAGAACACACCGTGCTTAGGCATGCAACGTACAACTCCGTGCAATACTTATCCGCCCTTGAAGGGTTTGAAGGTCCGACACGCAAACTGTACAGTGAAACCATATTCCCCGACTAGTTATGTGGTCAAAATAGATTCATCACATTGCCTTTACCTATGCTTTTCATGCTAGTTACGTCTAGAAAGTAACCGCTGTCCGAAAACTATGCTCAAATGATCACTTTGATCATAGAACTTTCAAATATTAAAAAGTAAAGCAAGAACAAGTCTCAAATTTTAACATATTATACGAAAGCAAAGTAAATTTGTCATTAATTAAAATAACCGAGTCGCAACAATCAAAATTTGATCATCATAAATATCTCTTCATACAACACAAGATTTAAAAAAGAATTATCCAAGATGCAAGCAAAGGATTTCATTTAAGAGGAATGAACCTGGAAGAGTGGGTAGCACCAATACCGGGTCTACCATGCTTAACTGGCTTGTATGAAATAGAGAACTCGGCCAGGTAATGGCTGATCATTTCAGGCTTGATTTCGACTTGATTGAATGTCTTGCCATTGTACACACCGATAATGCTTCCAATCATTTCAGGTACAATTATCATATTACGCAGGTGGGTTCTAACAAGTTCTGGCTTCTCACTGGGTAGGGCCTCCCTTTTCTTTTTCTATTTTTGATAGGAATAGAAAGTCTCATTAAAAACCACCCTCTTAGTGGACCTTACCCCTAAGGTAAGACCAACTAGCGAAAAGAAGAAAAGAGTACCTCAATTTATTAATGATAGCCAAGTTACATAAAACTTAAAAACACTTTTACATACAATATAAGACTTCACACACTCCTCTAGCTTCTTAGCTCATAAACAAACACCAACTGAAAAAGATAAAATCGTCACCCGATCCCCTCTTTTGCTAGCAAAGACCTTGGAATCCACCTAACAATAAAATTTCTAAAACAAACAATAGATACAATTTCCTTAACAAAATTTGAAAGGAAAACAGGAACCAAAGCTTGGTCTTTGATCCAATCCACTACAAGCTTGCAATCACTTTCAATAATGAGTCTGCCTTTCAACAACCATTCTGAAGAAACAAAGATATCAATGCCTCTTTTTATAGCTTTCAATTCTACTAAATAGGGATGAGAAGGACCAACATTTTTTGAAAAAGAGATAAGTATAACCCGATTCCAATCCCTGAGAAGACCCCCTATTCCAACAACTCTCCCAACTCTACTAAAAACCCCATCCACATTCAACTTTAAAAAATCTACTGGAGGAGGAATCCACCAACACACAGGTTTGAGTAGTTCCTTAGAAGCAGAGATACTATATGCCAAGGAAGGATCACCAATTAGAGAATTCACCTTAATAGAGGAAAGAGGATATTTTGCTAGAAACCATCTTGCTAGCCTTAACCGAACAATGAAAAACAGTGAAAGTCTGTCCAAATTGCCATTATCAAAGATAATTTCATTTTTAATTCTCCAAATTGACCATAACACTACACCCAGAATAAACTTCCAGATAACCGAAGTAGGCCTCAAATCAGACCAAGAACTAAGTAAGTATGGAGGGTCAAGTGGAAAAGCTAGACTAATACCCCAATAACAAATTAGTTTATTCCACAGCTCCCACGAAACTTGACAAAACAAAAAAAAAGATGCTGGACTGATTCATCGCATAGGTTGCATAAAGGGCAGAGAGTATTCTCCCCTATAGGAACCCCCCTTTTCATCAATTCCGTTCTAACAGCAACTTTTTGATGAGATAGCTGCCAAAGGAAAGTCTCCACTCTCGGAGGGACTAACCCCAGCCAAACACAGTTTCTCCACTGATATGTATCCTCATAAATAGACTCTAGAGATTTCCTGCACTCTTTGACAGAAAACAACCCCTCCCCCAAGCCATCCCACAGCAAACAATCCTCCAAAGACTTAATCAGTTTAATGTCTTTAAGGTTGTTCAATAACTCAACCGACTGCAACACTTCTCAATCACATAGATTCCTCCTCGTTTTAATATTCCACTCCCATCCATTCAAGTCAAAACTTCCAAAATCAGCCACATTACCACCTTTGTTAGTAGAAAGTGCAAAAATCCTATGAAAAAGTATTTTTAATGGACAATCCCCAAGCCAAGTATCCTTCCAAAAAAGAGACAGATTTTCCATTCCCTATTTGTAATTTTGCATGAGATCTAAGACAACCTCCAATGAAGTCATTCTTTGAGAAGTTATTGACAATTCCCCTCCAAATCCATGAGTCTTTTTGAGAGAGGGCCTTAGTGATATTCAAGGAATGACAACTCACATTATGTTTACTACAAAAGAATTTCTTTCATATCGAATCTTTTTCATTTGCAAACTTCCATACCCACTTCCCCAACAACGCTCGATTGGTAAGATTCAAATCAACAACTCCTAAGCCTCCACCACTCAACGGCTTACAAATCTTTTTCCAACTAACCCAATCCATTCTCTTCTTCTCGCCCCCTCCACCCCATAGAAAATTCGACATCAAAGAATTTAACTGTTGAAAAATAGTAGATGGCATCTTGAAAATAGATAGGTAAAGATGAAAGTACCGACTTAATAAGCACCAATCTACCAGCCATGGATAAAGATGAAGCTTTCCACCCTGCCAATTTTCTACTAAAATTCTCTATAACCGACTCCCACAACTTCTCTGAATTCTTTTTTGCCCCCAATGGAAGGCCTAAATAAACTGTCGGGAAAGAGCCAATTGAACAGCCAATATCCCTCGCCCATTCTTCAAGTAAGACATTCTTCATATTAATACCATAAAGTTTACTTTTGGCTAAATTGAGATGGAACCCCGTCATTAGGCTAAAAATCCTCAAAACTCTTCTAACATTCCTGATCTGAGTAATAGAGGCTCGATAGAATATAATTAGATCGTCCGCAATTTGAAGGTGTGATAAATTAAAGGAATTTTGATCATTGCCGAACGAAAACCCTTGAAACAGTCCCAAATTCACTGCTTTTGTCAACATCTTGTGAAGTAATTCCCCAACAACATTGAACAAAATAGGAGAGAGGCTACATCCTTGCCTTAATCCTTTATCAATAAGAAATTCTTCTGTAGGGGACTCATTGAGTAGGACCGATATAGAAGCTGTGGAAATACACTGTGTGATCCAAGAACACCACCTATCACCAAAACCCATCTCTTTCATTAACCTAGGGCCTCCCTTTTCTAAATCAATGCATCAAATTAGAACAATCAACTTTCGCAGAATAATCATAAACTAATGTAGTTTGATCAAAGATAACGTTAGCTTAAAACTATAAACTACAATTACACTTTAATAACCTACAACATGGATAAACAAAAACGTGGATAGCCTCTAATATACGAGAAAGAAACCGAGAATGGAAAATGAAACAAGACACTACAAAGGATAGAGAAGCTGAGATGGCTATCACGCATGCAAAATAGGAAGTTAATTACAACAACAATAAGCTAAGAACTTGTACTTCAATGAATCAAAATTATATTCGGTAATGTTCATTCAAATGCATATTTTGGAACACGATCAATCAAGTGAAGGCAGATATGCTTTGAGATGAGCATTAAAAACAAACAATTAACAACAACATTTTTCAAAAAAGAAAAATAAATCAGCTTCAGATAGTAAGATCAAATATAAACATACATTTTAGATAGAAAATTTTGAGACATTCAACACACAACTAATCAATTGAGAATGGAAAATAAAACAAGCTAAAAAATGGAGAAGATGAGATGGATATAACGAATGCGAAATAAGTAGTTCCTTACAATTACAATAAGCTAAGAACCTGCAACGACTCAATACTATATCTGGTTGTGTATTTGAATAGTAATTTGGAACATAATCAATCAAGTGAATGTGGTTCGCTTTGAAATGAGCATTAGAAATAAACAATTTACAACAACATTCTTCGAATAAGATAAACAAAAGATCAACTTAAGCTAGTAAGATATATTATAAACATGCATTTCTAATACAACATTTCGAGACATTCGACAAATAGCCACAAGAAATTCTCTAATTCTATCTACCTAATAGCATAAGCATACATGAGCATCATCTTTCAACAAAACCAAATGAATACTCCCCATTAACTCAACATCAATGTTAGATCTAAACATAAATCACATAAAGCAATAAACAAAAAAGCAAAAGTAAAGATCAGCTTACCGCCTTGCGAAGTTTCTTGATTTAAGCCATTGGCTTTCTCTTGAGACCCCTCTGGAACCTAAAATCACATAATAAAAACAATTAAAAAAATAAACCCATTTCATATTTTTATTAAAAAAAATATTAAAAACGTAAGCAAATACTTTTGTTATTTACCTTCTGCGAGCACGAGCAGGAAGAGCTTGACAAGCTCATCGGTTGACATATCAAGGAGAGAATCCAAATCAACTCCTCGGAAGCTGAACTTCTTGAATGTTCTCTTCTTCGGGACTCCGGCCGCCGCAACCTCGGTATCCACATCCGCCTGTTAATTTTTTACCCAAATACATACATTACACATAAGCCAAAAGGAAAAAATAGAACCTGTAAAGTGGTAAGAAAAATCAAGAAGGAAAGAGGGACAAATGGAACTACCATGGATGAAAGCTTTGGTTTTCTGAAGCTGGAGCAGTCGCCGCTAAGGGTTTTATCCGAGAGGTGGAAGATATGGAAATGCTTTTGATAAAATTGCTTATATATACTCTGAAAACCCTAAAATCAGATCTTTGGGCACCAATGTTGGCCTTTCAATTGGATTTGGATTCAGTGTTTTGAGTTTGGATTAATGTATATTTTATGGAGATTATGTTGTATCTAATTTTTGATAATTTGAGGATTATGTTTGTAGTTTGATTTAGACTTAGAGAGACTCTATTCGATTTAAATTTAAATTGATTTTTAGGATAAAAATTTACATTCACACTTGACTCGACCTGACGTGTATACATATATATGTATATATTTGGTAGAATATGAATCTAATTAAAAAAATAGAGAGATTCATTATTATAATTATCTCTAAATATATAAGAAATGATTATACTATTATCTTATATTGAGTCGAAAATATTTTACCTTAAATATAAATTTGACCTTACATTATCATTCAAAAAAATTGATCATATAAAATTAGGTCTGATCTCCACAAATCATGTTCATCCTTAATTTTATGTCAACCATCTCTAGAGTAGGTAAATAAAAATCTTCTTAATTGCCATATTTCCTTTTCTTTTAAGTTTTGAGTTCATTACATAATATCAGCAAAAAAACAATTTATATATAAGAATTGTTAAAAAAAATAGTTGCATACATTATTTTTAATTTTTAATTCTTTTAACATTTGTTGATGTGAGTACATTCAAATTGATTAATAAAGAATAAAGATGACACACCAATAAAAATTTAATAAAATTAAGTTTTTTTATATTTTGTATAATCATCGGTATCTAATCATTGATCAACTAATTCGAATTGGGTATTGTTGAGGCAATGGCGACTCTCCCAATTCAATTTGCTTCATTCGCAAACACTAAAATTTGTACATCTGACTTTGTTTAAAGTAGGGGTGTATTCGGTTCTGTTCGGTTCAGTTTTTTACTAAAAATTTAATCAAACCGAAATAAACAGTTTTTTTAAAATTTAAACCGAAGCTGAATGGTTAAAAAACCGAATTATGTGAAACCGATTTTTTCGGTTTGATTCGATAATGCGGTTTTTTCGGTTCGGTTCGTCGGTTTTTCAATGAAAAATTCACTTGAAACTATAAATTAAAAAAAAAAATTTGTCTATTCGGTTCAATATGGAACAAGTGGGTTCCGTATGGAAAACCAGAACCGAACCAAATAAATAGAATTGATTCTTTAAATCAACCCGAAACCGAACTGTTTAAAGGTAAAACCGAACCGTTTTACTCAGTTCAGGTAAATTTTTCGGTTTTCTCGTTTTCGTTGCTCAGCCGTAGTTTAAAGGATCTAAGCCTTATCTCATTAAACTAATTGGTTGTTAGTAATAAAATTAACTTGTTAAAGTAATGTAACTAATTGGTTGTTAGTAATAATTGTTTTTAAATTCTAAATGTGTCGAACAAATTCAATAACTACGTACCTAACAACAAGTTTTGTGGATAAAATGTGATAACAATAATTATGTCAAACCAAATTAAAATTTAGTTAATTGTTTTCGTCTTTTAAATTTTTCGTATTTGATAAAGATATATTTTCGAAAAATCTTCAACTAAATATATATATTAAAAATTGAACATTCCGGTGTTCATATCGACATGGAATCAATACCGATGCCAAAGCCGGAGCGAGATTACATATCTGTGTTACAATTGTCGTCGTTTTTCGATTCTTCGAACAGAAGCTTTGAGGTCCAATTGAATAGATGATCTTGTAGGGGACAAAACAATGTCTTTCCAGACAGAACCAGGCATGTCTACCGGACTTTGGTCTTGTTCATAAAGCTCATACACACAGTTTGCTCCTGTGTTCAACTTGCTCACATTTGACAACCATTTTATGTCATCTGGGTCTATCAGCAGCTTGTTATCCCCATCTTTCCAACCTATCAACTGCATATTATACACACAATGATGAATAAACCAAGTCGTAAATGTCGGAGATTCGAATCTCAGATCGGAACATGCATAAACCGAGTTAAACTTCGGGTTTTTGTACCTTTGGAGGGCCTCTAAGAGCATTAGTGCAATAGAGCCTGGCATTGTCAACAAATTGGCAATATCTTGGAAATACACTTGCAAACCTCTTGTGGGATCTTAACTGTGAATTTACTCTCACTGCTCGTTTCACCATGATGGCTCTCCTGCACATTTTTTTTTTAAATCGATCGATCATAGAGTCGGGATATAGACGATGATGGATATAAATCGAGTTACGAACTGTTGTTACCTTATTCCTCTAACGACAGCTAGATATGCGTCGCATACAACACCAACAAGTTCGATTCGGTAAGGTTTCCTATGTGTTTGATGATCATTGTCTTCGTCTATCTGTTCCCAATAGTTCTCGGTGATGGTTCCATCTTCATCAACCTTGTATCCGACCCCCATCCGGTACCGATGCTTGTGGACATTTCGAGCCATGTCGATCGTCTGCTCGAAGAAGGGCTCCCACGATAGAGTCCCGTCCATTATCACGTCTCGGCCTTCGTTCAATGCCGTCACTAGCAGTGACGATGCGGCCTCGATGGAGGATTGATGGACGAGTTCGGATGTCAGGAGCATGTCATGGTGGTGACCCCTTGAGCTTAGAGCTTTGAATATTACATCTGTTTCTTTGAACGCATCCGCCTCAACAACCACGGCATTCCCCGCCGCGTCCGCCCAGAACGGTCTGCGGATATAATTAAATTAATTTCTCAAATTTCGTAAAGTACGACCGATTAAGATCACATAAAATGATATGATTTAATTCAAAATGGGGGAATGATGGAGATAGACATACTCTTTTAAAATAACATCTTTGAGCACGGTGCTTTTGCCGGCCCCCATACCACCGCCCATAAGCAACAGAACCGGGCTCCGCTGGCTGTGCGCCACCGGCGCCATCACTTCCGTACACTTCGCCTCGCCGTCGACACGTCTCATCGCCTTCATCTCCTCCACCAACGTCGAGAACACCCTTGCCACCTTCAAGTCCTTTATCACCCTCTCAAATCTCTTTTGCCTATAAAAAAAATCAAAATTCAATACAAATTAACAAACAATCCATTTATTAAATAATAAAAATCCAAGACTTCGACTTCAATAATTAAATCATCTTTATTTATTGACTAACATATCTAAAAAAATGTCATAAATATTTATTGTACTAATTAATTAATATTTAAAATGCCCACGTGCATGGCTAATAAAATAAAGAAGTACAAAGTAATTCTAGATCGAGAAACATAATGTAAATAAATATATATATGTAATAAATACTCCTAATTTGTATTTTACTCATGGTTTTAATTTAAAAATTTTGTAACTAAATATTATTTACTAATTAAAATGATAATAATAATAATAATAATCAAAATCACCTTGTAGCTGCAATGACTAAGTCCTTTAGCTTTGTTTTCTTCTCAGATTCAACAGCCAAAACCTGACATTAATTACAAAATCATTCACAAAATTTTAAAATTTGTAGTTAGATCCTATTTTTTTTTCCAAAAAAATATAAATTAAACTCTTCAAAATTTTAAAAGTCTTAATTTAAATATCTAAAAAATTTAAAATTTTAAGTTGGCCGTAGACTATCACTAAGTAAAAATTTTAAGTTGCCCTAAGACTATCACTAAGTATAGCGGTTGTTACCTGAGAAATTATATTGGGAGCTTGGTTCCAATGGAAAGCAAAATAACTGAGTATGCATCTCTCAAATTCCACCATCAACTTCACATACAAAGCTTCAGCTTCTGGTTCTTCAGCAAAATATTCAAACATCTGAGCCTCAAAATCTTTTGGTTTCTTCACATAGTTTTCAGCCAATTTGCAGAGCTTCGGGTATTCATTTGCATCTTCAAATCCCAGTTGCCTAGCTGCCGTAAAAGGAAAACCAAGATTAAGAAAAGAAATTCAAAAAATGGGTTCCGATTCGTTTGTCGAATTTGCAGTAAATCTCGAAGAAATCTTACCAACATAGTGGGAGAATCTTTCCAGGTTTCCAAGCCGGCCTGAATCTGTCCTCTGCTGCAGTGGGACGAGACTTTGATGGTCTTCGACGGATTTTCTGCAGTAATTAGCGGCGGTGACTGCGGCGGCTCCGATGACAGACGCGGCGAGGATGCGTATGATGATGACTCTGACACCGCCGTGAATATGATCCATATCTGTTTGTATTAATGGAAAATGTCCCGAGAAAATAACAAATCCAAGTACTGGAAATTCCTGGAAAATTTGAAGATTTCTGGATTTGGGTTTTGATTGGTTGATGGGAACTGGGGGGATGGGTCTTTATATAGAAGTTGAGGTCAAGTACAAGTCAACATTTACAGGATTAAACTATACAAAATTGGAAATGAAATTTTCATTCAGCAATGAGTGGGTTGATAATTCTGCATTCTTTTGGTCAAAATCCTGGTTCCTTTATTCTTTGGCAATATTTAAAGGTCCTTATATTTTGCATTTTTCGTGGATTTAGTCCATCAATTATCATTTTATCTTTTATGGTATCTCTATTTTCTTAAAGGGTAAAGTGCACAAACAGTCCCCCGACTATAGGGCGATGCTTTGTCCTTCGAGTATTAAAAATTATAAATGATCCTCTAACTATAGGGTGTTGTTTTGTTGAGTCTTCCGACTATTAAAAGTTTCAAAATGGTCACCCAACTATTTAGTGTGTTCTAAACTTGTCCTTTTTTTGTTAAAAATTGACGGCATTCTGAGTTGAATGTTGATCTACAGACTGAGATATGATAAAATTTGATCTCATAATCTCAAAAAACTATCATGTCTCAGTCAACAGGTTAACATCCAACTTATACTGTCGTCAATTTTTAACTAAAAATGACGAGTTTGGAACATACTAAATAGTTAGGTGACCATTTTGCAACTTTTAATAGTCGGGGGACTCAACAAAGCAATACCTTATAGTCAGGGGACTATTTTGTAACTTTCAATAGTCGAGAGACTAAAAATAATATCACCCTATAATGGGGGGACTGATAGTGTACTTCTCCCTTAAAATGCTTATATCATAAATAAGTACATAAAATATAATATTTTTTATTTAAGTATTTAATGTAAGTTAGGATAAATACAAAGTAATATATACTAAAATATAATTCTTAACTATTCGACATTTAATATTCATACCTTTGATATTTATGGTGCTCAAACTCGATACCTCAAGAAATAACAACAATTATAAAAACTCTATTTTTATTAAAAAATTATTAATATAAGAAAATTATAAATAATATATGTTTTGAACATTCTCAATTATTTGATGATAAAAATTTAAATAATTTTTTAATATAATTACTTTATGTCAAATACTTTTAAATACTCTTTTTTTTGGGTCGTAAATATAGATACTCTATCATTTTTGGATTCAATCCAAATGCATATTTTATTAATGTTAATTCTGTCAAATAACGACTTTTATATATATATATATAAGTGAAGAGATACCACTCTGAATCGAACTTAAAATATAATATCAAATAAAATTAAATATTTGAATAACTAAAGACTTAAGAGTGCATGAAACCTTTAAAATTTTGGAGAAAAAATCATTCGAAGTCTTTTATTTTTTTAATCATTGAACTCTTAAATCGATAAATTAAATCAAGGGTAAACTACAAATTTCAACACTAAACTTTATTCTCTCTCCTATTTTGCTCACTAAACTTTAAAAGTTTTCAATTCCTCACTAAATTTAATACATTAGGATTTTTTTGTCACTCTGCCGTTAAATAATTAATGACGTTAAAAAGACGCCATTTAAAAAAAATTCACCAAAACGATATCGTTTTCCATTTATATAAAAGCCTATTTATAAAGTCATTAGTGAGGAAACGACTAAGTGACACAAAAAATTCAATGTATTAAGTTCAGTGATAAAATTGAAAAAAAAAATTAAAGTATAGTAAGTGAAATAAGAGAAAAAATAAAGTTTAGTTATCCAATTTGTAATTTACCCTTAAATCATTTAAATCATCAAACATAAAAATTAATTCAATTAGGTTCTTTAACCAGTTGTGATCATTATGTCTCAATAGTTTTATGATCTATTACCACCCTATGCCATAGTGTGATTCTATTTTTTAAAAAAAGTGAAAGATATAAATTTTATTAAAATTAAGATTTTTTTTAAAAAATATCACTTAGCAATATCGTGATATGATATATGACATCAATTAATTTTCAAATGATTGTTAGATTTAATTTCTAATATTAGTCAAAAGGGTTAATTAATAAATTTTAAAATATTCCCTTCGAATGATATAAATTTAAAAAACTTTAATCTACAAATATTTAAATTTAAAACAAATCATAAATTCTATATTATAATTAGGCTTAATATAAAAATAAGTGTCAAAACTATATTGGTTTTTTCTAAAATGGTGTCTAAATTTTTTTCAGTCAATCCAAGTGTCTAACGTTACAAATATTACCACTTTAGGTGTCTGGTCTGTAATTATTGTTAAAAAAGCTCATTAAGTGATACATGTCACATTCTGGTAATTTTGACATTTTTATTTAAGAACTTTAAAATATTATTATATTTAAAAAAAACTCTAAACTTTTCTATTTTATACAAAATACCCCACAATTCATAAAATCTCTTATTTTAATTTCTTTTACTATGGTCTTAAGCCATTTCAGATCACCCATCCGTTACCGAATGACCATCTATTCGTCGTTAGCCACCCAATGATCAGCCATCACCATTGTTATCATATCAAACCTCAAAATTCTTAAATTTTTAAAATTAAATACCTAATCCCTAAAGTCTCAAATACCAATATCTAAACCTTAATAGCCCTTAACCTGGAATCCCCGATCACCTTGTTTTCATTTGTTTCGATCTAGAATATAAATTGGAAATTTGTTGAAGGGGAGGAAGTGCGCCTAAAGTAGTAACGTTTGTAACGTTAGATCATTTTATAGTATATAAAAGGGTAAAATATATCATTCCTCACTGAACTATACTCTATCCTATTTTACTCATCGTAATTTCATTTTTTCTAATTTACTCACTAAACTTTTGAATTGATCCTATTTTGATCACTCTGAATTATTTTATTATAATTTCTGTATGACGTGATATTTTTTATTTTTTAATATAAAATAATTGAAAATATAAAATAAAAACATAAGGCGGTCAGATGCAACCGTTGGCCACCGTTAACCGCCGTAGACGGTAGTCGTTTGGTCCCAAATTTCATGAGTCAGTTTGTCTCGATCCTTTGAGTTCGAATATGGTGGTTGTTTCACCAGAAAATGTCTCAAAACCCATGAATTTTGACTAAAACGGTTCAACTTTCTCACTTTCGATCTCCAATTCGTGGGCTTCAGAGCAAGTTCCAACAAAATGGAGGGCGAATTCGGACTCAGGGTATCGAGACGAAGCGACCCATGAAATTTGGAACCGAACGACCACCATCTATAGTGGTCGACGTTGGCATTCGACCACCTTCTATTTTTATTTTATATTTTTAATTATTTTATATTAAGTAATAAAAAAAATTTCACGTAATACAAAATAATAATAAAATAATTTAGAGTGACCAAAAAAGGAGTGATTTGTAAGTTCAGTGAATAAATTAGAAAAATTAAATAAACGATAAGTAAAATAAGAGATAAAGTATAATTCAGTGAGGAATGATGTAATTTACCGTATCATAAATTCAATATTATAACAAACATAGTAGTGTTTTGGTGCTTTTTATAATGATATTGTTATTGTTATTGTTAGTCAACTACATTATTATTTTAGGTTTGGAGATTAAAATAAAGGGAAATTTGAAAAGAAAATTCTTTATAACAAACTTTCCATCACTTTAATGTTATATAAAGTAGGTTTAATGGTGCATGGAGCACTTATTTTTTTTAAGAGATAGTGTTGTCACATTGCACATTGTGATTCTGCCATGTGGAAAATATTTTAAAAAGAAAAATTATGACGAAATTATTTAATATATAAAATATTTTTAAAAGTTTCTAGAATTTTAAAGGAATTGTTATTATTTTTTTGAGATTCGGAGTTCGAGTACCATGAATATCAAGACTATGAATGTTCAATATCAAATGATTGAAAGTGTTATTTGAACAAATATCACCTTATACCTATTCAAGAAAAGCAAATTAATACAATTTTAAAAAATAAAGAGCGAATTAGATTAAAAAACAATTTAAAAGACTAATTGTTTTTTTTTTCAAAAATTCGAAATGTTTTGAAACCCTTAAACCCACAAAGAATTATTTAGATAGTGGACATGACGATGCACACAAAATGTGGACTTGACAATTAATTGGACCATTTTTGTAATAAAGTGAAACTATTAATTTTAGGGTAAATTACAATTTTAATATCTTAACTATCATTTTTGTTTCATTTTGGTTACCCAACTATTTTTTGTTTCAAAATCATATTACACGTAACGTTTTCGTTTTATTTTGGTCACTCACCATTAAAAAGATAACAGTGATTTTGATGCCGCAATAAGATAATGTCACGTCACGGTGAGTGACTAAAATAAAACCAAAACATAACCATAGACATGATTATGAAACAAAAAAATACTTATGTGACCAGAAATAAACAAAAATAATAATTGAGATACTAAATGTATACTTTCCCTTAATTTTTTTAATACCAAGTTGGAAATCATGACCATTCATGTGTCCATGGCCTAGTTGCTAACCATAAAGTAAAGTCATGATACTTTTAGCACTAATTAAAGACATTATTTCTATTTTTTTGGTATAATATTGAATGCTCATTTAACTTTAAATAATTGATTGTTTAAATATTCCTTTTTACAGTTGAATCACTCAAAGTGTCACTACTATGTTTGTTATAAAATCACAATAATTAAAAAAACACTTACTTTATTAACTTAAAAGTTATCAGTCAACCTTCATTGTGAAATAGTTAATATTGAACGTTTATATATCCATATTACGTGATATTCGAATCCAAAATATTGAGGAATAACAATAATTTCTTAACCACTAAGATCACTTAATTTGTGGACTTTAGCTCTTAACTCATTTTTCTTATTTTATGACGAAGAAATAGTGACATATCATAATTTTATTAGAAACTATTTTCTAACTATGAGAATCTTAAAAATAAAGGTATAATGTCAAAAAATATTCATAATATCTGATCGAATAGTCATTTTATTCTTATTCTCTTTTAGTGTTTCGGTCTCCAACGTTTCGTTGTGAGACAAATTATCTCATGGTTAGAAGTAATTAATTAGTTAACTAACAATTAATACTTATTGTTGGTGTGATAAGTTATATATGTCCAAAATGATGACGTGACAAATGTCATGTGTCCAAATTGATGACGTGGAACATGTTATGTATCTAAAGTGATGACATGACACATGTAACAAATTCAAAGTAATGACATGACACATGCTATATGTACAAAATGATGATATAATATTATCATGTGTCCAAAGTGATAATGTGATTTTGTAATATACCAAACCAGAGGTATTTTACTACAACATAAAAAGTCGATGTCAAAGTACTTAAAAAAAAGGAATATGAACAAAGATAATTATTTTACTAAATATTAGGGATGAATTTTCCTATTATATCCAAAAATAAAATTATTTCCAAATCTTTTTGAGTGGGCTAGAATTTTTTATGGGCCTCAACCAAAGCCCGTGAAAAATTTCCATTGCACAATTTTAATATGGGTAAATTACAAATTTTATCATTGAACTTTATTATTTTTGTTTTGTTCACTGAAGTTTAAATTTTTTAATTTTTCACTAAATTTAATACATTGAATTCTTTGTCACTTAGTCATAAAATAGTTAACGGCATTAAAACAATGTCATTTAAAAAAATAATAAAACAATGTCATTTTGTATCTATATAATAGCCTATTTATAATGTCGTTAGTGAAAAAAAGACTGAGTGTCTTTGAAAAACTCAATGTATTAAATTTAGTAAAAAAAACTGAAAATATTTATAATACAGTAAGTGAAATAGGAGAAATAATATAATTCAGTTGTCAAATTTGTAATTTACCCTTTTAGTATTTAATCCACTTTCTGTGTATATAAAATGCTTAAAACCTTACAAAATCTCGAATTTCAGTCAAGACTCAAGAGATTCGTGAAACAACTGAAGATGGAAATTGATTCTGAGTGGGGGAAACTAAACGTTAAAACCCCAGAAGAAAACATCTCAGTGAAAATGGATTCCCAGGAATCCTCGGGAACAAAGGTAGTAGCTAAACTCTTTTTTTATGAAGTAATTTATAGCTAAACAATTGGGAATAAACAGTTAATTCTTTTACTTTTTTCAATGACGGGTAGTTCTTGTAATCAATATTGAGTTGTTTGGTTTTCGTTATACAGGGAGACAATGATGAAAAAGAGCAGCTTGTTGGTATCATGGACAAATTAAATATCGACTCGCCTTCGAACGGTTTCAAGAGGAAACCAGTTATTATTATTGTTGTTGGAATGGCAGTTAGACCAAGAAACTTGATTTGGGTGTTTCTTTTTATGTTTGTTATATGTTGTATCTTCCTGTCTCTGATTGAAATTCAAGTTACTAGCAAGTTGTTTGAGTGAATTTGAATGTAAATGTGTTGTCTGATTTTATTAGGGTGTGGGAAAACCACGTTTCTTCATCGGCTGGTTTGCCACGCACAAGCTTCGAATATTAGGGGTTATGTGATGAATCTTGATCCTGCTGTGATGACCCTTCCATTCGGTGCTAATATCGATATAAGAGATACTGTTAAATACAAGGAAGTTATGAAGCAGTTCAATCTTGGACCTAATGGTGGAATCCTTACATCGCTTAATTTGTTTGCTACCAAGTTTGATGAGGTGAGCATTCTGAATTTTCTGCATTAGATTTTGTGACTGGAACGTTCGGAACAATACCAAGACTTTTAGTTGTAGGACGAGCCTTCTCCATGGATTAAAATGTTTAAACTGGAAAATGAGTGGTCTTAGTAGTTTTTTTTTTGTCTTCTTCATTCTCTCCATCAACGTGCTTGTTGTACTTTTGACATATTTTGGTGGTTTTGACACCTTTTCATTTGTCATTTCACGTGAATGGCTTTGCAAACATCCAATCTCAGGTTATTTCGGTTATTGAGAGACGAGCTGATCAACTTGACTATGTTCTTGTGGATACTCCTGGGCAGATTGAGATATTTACCTGGTCTGCTTCTGGGGCTATCATTACAGAAGCATTTGCTTCAACGTTTCCTACTGTAGTCACTTACGTAGTCGACACGCCTCGTTCTGCAAGTCCGGTTAGCTTCATGAGCAACATGCTTTATGCTTGTAGCATACTTTACAAAACGCGGTTGCCTCTTGTGTTAGCATTCAACAAGATTGATGTTGCACAACATGAGTTTGCTTTGGAGGTATATTTGATTTGCGTATTAGATACAGATATTTTGGTTTGGCATTTAGATAATTTTTCGTGAATTGCTTCCATTTAATTTCATATTTGTTATAATTGTTTGGTTATGTGTTGTACTTTTCCCGAATCACGTTGATCATCCATTAGTTCATGATTCTTCGGTTTTTATCTGTTTCCAGCTTTTCCTGTCGACATGTAATATGTGCAATACTGTTAGCTTTCTTATCAATTAATTGTCTTTAGAAAAGAAAACTAAACCATTTGTGCAGTGGATGGAAGATTTCGAGGCATTTCAGGCGGCAATAAAGTCGGATACTACGTACACATCAACTCTAACTGAGAGCCTGTCCCTCTCTCTTGATGAATTTTATAGGAATTTACGATCTGTTGGAGTGTCGGCAATTTCTGGGGCTGGAATGAATGAATTCTTTAAAGCCATTGAAGCCAGTGCTGAGGAATACATGGAAAATTACAAGTATTACCTTTCTCTTTTAATCTTTACAAAATCAGTTTGGGGGTGTTTTAAATGCTTATGGTAATTCCCAAATTTTGTATCTTGCTATCATTGTTTTATAGGGCTGATCTCGATAAGAGACAAGCAGAAAAACAACGCCAAGATGAAGAACACCGGAAACAGAGCATGGATAAGTTGAGGAGGGATATGGAACAATCGAGAGGTGAAACTGTTGTCTTGAGTACCGGGTTGAAAGACAAAGATGGAAGAAGAAAGTCAATGATGGATCCTGAAGATGGAGTAGAAGAACCAGAAGATGAAGATGATGATTTTGAGAGGTTCAGTGAAGAGGATGAAGATCTTATTGACGAGGATGAAGATGAAGAGATTGCCAGGTTCTCCTTCTAACATATATATAGCACTGACTGGGCTAGCCAGCTCAACAAGAATTGTATCGAATTTGCTGTGTCAGTAAATTCTCTTTAAACTTCGTCGATGACCTTCACGGTCTATGTGCGAATCAATATAATATTTTGGGTGAAAAATGTAGGTGCTAACCAACGAATCTAAGCTCTGAGTTTAGGGATGCAATATCTTTGAGCACAACTGGAGCAGTGGAGAGTGTGCTAGGGAACCGAAACCCTTTAACTATGTTCAGGCAGTCCATTTTGCCTCAAAACATGGCTATTAGGCAAAAGGTAAGAATCAACATCATATGAAAGAATACGGGGCCATAAATTTAGAACATGAAGGGCATCATTATCCGATCGAAACAGATTGCTAAGGAAGTTAAAAGAAGGGATAATTCTCTTCTCTAAGCCAATTCGAAGAATAGCTGAAATGAGAGTATAGATGGCATCTTCCCGATAATGGTGATTTGGGGTTTCGAGAATGGCTCTTTAACAAGGCGATGACAGAGTCAGGATGATTTGGGGTTTGAAAACTGACATGTTTGGAGGCTGAGAAAGCAGATTCTGGGGACAACCCACAAGTTTTTATAAGGTAAGAGGCTGTAAAAGATTGTTGATTTGAAGTGGTGGAGAATGGATGAATGTATAAAAGATTGGGGCTTGTGAAAGCTTCGATCTTGATGGGTCTCCTCCTCCCATGGCGGATTGTTTTAGAGAGAAAACAGCATGGGGAACTGAATTATGGTGAGATCGTTGAATGAAAAGAATGGAATCACCTGCTCCGGAGAGGAAATTGTGTTCTACCAAAGAAGACTTTTTTTTTATTAATACGGGTAAGTATAAGAAAAAGGTAATATCTGTTTAACGTTTACATTTCTGATTTCTGATTTTTATGATGTTTGAACTCGAGACTAATAAATAATAACCATTTTTTTATCACCGTTTGGCTCGTGCCACAAAGAAAGGCACTTGAATTCCTACAGAAGAACTTACGGCCAGCGGAAGTTCATGCAAAAACCTAGCATTTTATACGTGATGAAAAAGTAATACTCCTTTACGAAAACCAATTAGGTTTAATGCAACATTTGCCCCCTGAGATTTCCCTGTTTGCCCAAATTTGTAAACTACGTATTTAGTCAGTCAATTATTCTCATAATCTTATTTTGGTTACTCAAATATAGTTTTATCAAAACATTACCTAATGTTCTGTTTTAGTTCCGTTTTATCAATGACGGAGTGTCATTATCTTATGATGACACGTTAATATAACTGTTAATTTTTTAACGGTGAACAATCAAAACAAAATCAAAATGTAATATGATTTTAAATGAAATAATTGAATGATAAAAAAATAAAAAATAATAATTAAATGACTAAATCCATAGTTTACCCCTTTTTCACAATAGTTTCTTAAAATTATTTTTTATTGATACAAGGCAAGTATAAGATAATATATGTTTAAAGATAATTTTCAACCATTTGACATTAAATACTTATATCCTTGACATTCTTGGTACTCAAACTTGAGATCTCAAGGAATAACAATTCTTATATCACCGAGTTCAATAGAATTTGTGCTAGTTGTCTAAAATTAAAGTACACAAATGGTAATCATTTTATTCAAAACGTAAAACTTGTTGAAATAAAATTGATTAATTATAATTTGTCACGTCATCTTTCGATTATTTTTATCTAGCCCATTGTAACATAAGAAAGTTTGAAGCCTAGTATACATTATATCACATAGAAATCTTATTAAAAATTAATGAAATCAAGAGAAAAAAGAAAAAAAAAACATCCACAGATCATATGGGGTTGGCTCATCTTCTCATTTAGCGACACTTGAAGATTTTACTCCAGAAAATTTTCCGGTCGGACAGCATTCCGAACCGGAAGTGACTTGAGGATTGCGTGATATTGTGAATCCTCCACAGCAAGGTTTAGTATCATCGAAATGATAGCATCATTTGGTGCGAAATTCCTCCGACGCATTTCTTTGAGAAGATTCATAGCTTTACTGATGTTATTTTCTCGAAGAAAACCTTGGATGATGATGTTAAAGGAAATGGAATTGGGTAAGCAACCCTTTTCTTCCATTTCCACGAGCAACTTATCCGCCTCGAGTAAACTCCCTTTCTTGCAAAGACCGTCGATCATTATGTTATATGCTACAACATCAGGAACAAACCCTTTTCTCAGCATTTCGTTGAACATATTCCTTGCTTCTTCCAATCTTCCTGTTCTGCACATTCCATAAAGAAGTATACTGTATAATTCGATACTCGATTCGTGCTTGGTACCTTCAAGGGAACGGAAAATAGCTAACGCCTCATCAACATGACCTTTTTTGCATAGTCCATCCAACAATATAGTATAAGCATATAATGTTGGAGATTGACTACCATAAACATACATCTCATTGAACATCTCTTTTGCCGTCCTCACCCTCCCAGCCCGGCAAAGTGCTCCTATAAGTGTATTGTAAGTTCTAGCATTCGGCTTGCAACCCTGAAACTGCATGTCCCGAAAAAGCTGGAAAGCTTCATCAATCTTTCTATGCTTGCAATATCCATTAATCATAGTATTATAGCTAATAACATCGACATCTATACCTTGATCCACAATCGACCTGAAAAGCTCAGCTGCCTCGTCTAACTTACCCGCCCTACATAATCCATCCATGAGTGAGTTATAAGTAAACAAGCTTGGCACCTTTTCTTTCTCCCTCATGAGTGCAAATATTTCACGAGCCTTTACTAACATCCCCTTTTTGCACAAACAACTAATCAAAGTCGTGAAAGTTATTTCGTCCGGAGATATTCCTTCTCCGACCATCCTATCGAGAATCCTCGCAGCTTCTTTCCACATCCCCTCTCGGCAAAAACCATTAATCAAAGAGTTATACATGACCAAATCAGCAGCAATCCCTCGGCCAACCATTTCATCAAAACATTTCACAGCTTCCTTCAACCTACCTAAACTACACAATCCACTAACCAAAGAACCATAAACAACAACATCAGGAGTAATCCCTTTCGAAAGCATTTCGAGGAACAAATAGAGTCCATCATCAACCAACTTATCTTTGCAAAGGGAACCAATAATTGTACTATATATAAACAAATCCCCATCACAATTGCTCTCTGCCATCTTCCTAAACAATTTGAGAGCAGAACTTGGTTCACGTATGCTACAGAGGCCACTAATAAGTATCCCGTAGATAAAAACATCACCTTGAAAACCTCCTCTCTCACGCATTTTATCGAACACTTGAACTGCTTCCAAAGCCTTCCCTTCGGCACACAAACCCCTCAACAATCTAACAACAGTAGCGTGATCAGGCTCAAATCCCCTCTTCAATATATCACCCAAAACACAAAACCCAAAGTCTGTTCGCCTCAAATGACAATAAAAACTCAACAAAATGGTCAGAGTGTGTAAATTTGGCTTAATTCCCTCGTGATTCAACTTCATATACAACGATATCACACTAGAGTCACGGCTAAGCTTTAAAACAGAACCCAATACATGATTAAAAGTGTCAATAGAAGGCGAAGGTTTGAACTTTATTAGCTTTTCAAAGTAACTTAAAGCATCGTTGAGGTTGATTTTACTTGATCTACATTGATGCTTGATGTGAAACTCGATATTGTGGTGAACCAAAAGAGGTGCCGGTTTCGGATTTGGTGAAGAAATATGAGATGGATTTTGAATGAAAAGAGAGGAAAGTGAGAAAGTGGGGGATTTTGGGAGTCTTTCTTTGACCTGCATTGCTTGAACAAGTTGCCGTCTTCAGCGACATAGACATGAAGATCTTTTGCTGCAAAATAGTAAAGAATCTTTGGTTTTATATTTTCTTCATTAATATAGTATCACTCTTAACTAATTACTAAAACATATTTATTTAGAAGATAATATTATTTTGGTTTAAATGCACCATTGTACTTATAATAGATCATTTGTATCAAGTTACTTTTAAAAGTATTTTTAGGGATATTTTATCTTTTAAAATTTAAATCGTTACTTCGTTTACTTCAAAAATGTTAATTTTGATAAAAACAATAAGAGTAAATTACATACTTAACCACTCAATTATTTTCATGATTTCATTTTGGTCGCCCAATTATTTTTTTTAAATCATCACTTAAATTTTTAAAACTAAAATTTAGTGACGATTTAAAAAAAAATAGTTAGGTGACCAAAACAATGAATAGTTGAATGACTATATATGTAATTTATCATTAATTTTTTAACAGGTTTAACATCTTAGGAAATATGAGATAACAATTTAAACTTATGGAGAACAAAACGTCCTGAAAAATATTTTAAGGGAAAACTAAGTAAATTGTGTATAATTTAGGGGAAATGGTGAATTTAAACCTATTATTTTCAATTTTTTTTTTCAAATACTAATATTTTTAAAAGAAATCACATTTTTTTGTTAAAATAATTTAAGGTGATTAAAAAATAAATATTTGTTTATATTCTTAACTGCCCAAATCCAATAATTCAAGAAAGATTGATGGGTTCTTTTTATTATTAGGAGTTAAACTATATTAAGACTCATGTATTATGCTAAAATTTGAATTGATCTTTATTTTTTTAATTTTATGAGATTGACCTTTTCTATTATTTTATTTAAAAGAATTGATTTCTTTATTTAGTTGTGTTTAATTTTGTTATTATTTTTTATTTTACTAGTTGGTTTTATATTATTTAACAATAAAATGGGGTGATAGAGAATTTATTTTTTAACTAGACGTTTATTATGGTACAAGTAGAAAGACGTCTGGATCATCTGACAATCTTTAGAAGACGTTCGGACAATCCAATTTCTATTCTGCAACACTCATCGAAATGTATAATATGAAGAAGACGACGACATATCTTCTATACTCTTTCAAAAAACATCGTATCTTTCTTACTTTTTTAAAAAACACTAAATATTCTCAACGTTTTCTTATTTCTCAACACCCATTTGAGTCAATTTTTTTCTCTCACTATATTATTTTAAAAAATTTAAAATAGTTATATGATATGATATAATAATAATTTTAAATTTTACGCATTTTATGAAGACATAATATCCAAAAATACCTTTAACATTTGAATAATCATTTTAACTGATATAATTTTTATATTCGCAAGAACTTCAAAATTATTTAATATCGATCCATTTTGATGTTGAAATTTGCTGCAAACAAGCTTTCTTTGTTTTGATCCAAAAAGAAAAAAAAAGCTTCCTTTGTAACAATATCAGAAAAAATAATGATTAAAAATTTGTAAGAATACTTACTAATCTAGGCCAACGAAGCTCCGATGAAGTTTTTTTTAAAAAAACGAATGGTTGATATGGAGGAGGAAAAGTACTTTCTCAAATAAGACGATTTGAACATTATCATCGGAAAACACCGAAAATAACTGGCGTCTTTGAGAAGACAGTCAAAATATACGTCTTTGGGAAGATAACTGGAATATACGACATCTTAAAGCTCCGACCAAATCACCATGGCTAGTCTTCCTTTCTTTGTCCCTCTCTTCTCTCCTTTACTGCTACAACCACTACATCAAAACTGTTCTACAACGGTATTTTTAACGGCGTTTTGAGAGTAAACGCCACTAACATTAAAAATATAGCGGCGTTTACATTCTAAACACCACAAAATGGTAACTTTAGCGGCGTTTTTATATAAAATACCGCGACAAAGTAGTACTTTAGTGGCGTTTATATAAAAACGTTGGAATTGGATTCATTTATAGTGGCGTTTTTTCAACAAACGCCGCAATAGAATAGTACTTTAGCGGCGTTTTTATACAAACAACGCAATAGGTCATCCATAGTGGCGTTTCTCAATAAACGCCGTGAAAAAGTAGTACTTTAACTGCGTTTGTATAAAAATGCCGCAATAGGGTTTATCTATAGTGGCATTTTTTTAACAAACGCCGCAAAAGGGTTGTACTTTAGCGGTGTTTTTCAACAAACGCCGCAACAAAGTAGTACTTTAGTGGTGTTTTTATACAAAAGTCACAATAGAGTTAATCTATAATGGCATTTTCAGCAAATGCCGCTAAATAAGCATAGTTTAGTGGCATTTATATAAAAAAAAACGCCGCGATAGCTCGATATATAGTTGCATTTGTGTAAAAATGCCGCTATATATGCATAGCCAGTAGAAACCCTCCCAACATGGGTTTTAAGAACTCACTACAAAACTTTCTCTTTGTCTCTTCCATTTTAGGGTTTTTGAATGGAAGGAGCGACTGCCAACTTCAAATATGCTGCAAAAAGAGCGAAAACAACTCAGATTTTCGAAAATTTCAAACCCCCTCTCCCTCCAAGGTAAAGCTTGCTCATTTCCCACCATTTTCTTACCCATTTCCCTCTTCTTTCTCATCTCGTAATAGAATATCCACTCACCTAAAATAAACAAGAATATTCTTTCTCTGAATATGTAGGAACCCTAGAACCTAAAGTTTCAATCTTTGTTGGTTGGAACTTATTTCCTTCTCCTTCTTTTTAACTAAGCTCGGGATTCAACTCTGTTTCTATTTTGCGTGCATTATGGATTATTGTATTTGACAATGTAGGTTTTGTTTGTGCTTTTATTTTTATGTAAAGTTGCAATGTAATTAATCATTTTCATTTTTCATGTGGAATATTTTTTTTATGTTTGCTTGGTTTAATATAAACCATTTTGTGATCGTAGGCAGTGTTCTGCGTTGAGATGTTACGAGGAGGATTGTCTAAGCTTTCTTTCTAGATTTTTTGATACAGAGTCATGATGTTATGAACTTTTGAATAGGATCGTGTCACATGTCATAGGGCTATTGGCAGAGAAGTCGAGTTCGATTGTCTTCAAAGGGACACTGAAGCTTCAGGACTCATTGGAGGGAGATTCAGGGCACTGGAACATGATTTTGAGTTTTGCATGGGTATGCATTGAGAGTATGCTTAAGTTCATTGAAACTATAGCTTCTGAAGCTGTATTTCCAATGATATTGAGATTGCAGTACCTTTGGGGGTTAAATTTTCATGAAGTATTTGACCTATAGTAAACCTAAATTGCTGGTTGGATTGTTCAGCTTTCTTTGTAGATATGTTCACATGGGAATCATGATGTTACGAACTTGTGAATAAGATCGTGTCACGTGTTAGTAGAGGGAGCCTGAAAACTTTAGGATTCACCGGAGAAAGATTTAATGCAGAAGTCAAGATTTGTTTCTACACCTTTGTGCAAGCTTTGTTATTACTGTCTTCCACCACATCATCATCATTTTCATGGACATAATCATCATCAGATCAGCCAACATCTTGTTTTCAGACTATGTAAGCATGTTATTAGTGTGTGAAAATATGTTACTTTGTTTCTTCCCCATTAATATTATCAAAATAAGCTGAAAGGCATGAACTCATTCGACCATGTTCACATCTCAAACTGCTTCCCATCAGCCCTACATCTTCAACACCATAGATGTCCCACACACATTAAGTTATTCCACTTGTTCTTTCTTCTTTAATCTTTTTGTCTCTATCATGGCATTTTTTAATGTTATTTTATGTGTTCCACTGTCACAAATCACTGTAAGAATCTTGACATTGTATTGCTTTTTCTCCATTTTAAGCACCACTTTGTACTTTATGTCTAGAATTAAGGGTTCATATTCATCCATTATCCTACTGCTAGGGAACATTTGGTCTTTAAATGAATCTAAGGAACCCTTTGTTTCGTTTTAACTGATCGACTAAATTATTAGAATTAGGCTGCATTTTTCTCAATGCTTGAAGCTAATCATTTCATCAGCTTTAAAAGCTTTGTTTAGGCTAATTGTCCTCACTATCCATATGCTTGACCTAAAATTATTGTATCTTTTAGGATATATTTAATAATTTAAATTGTGTTTCTTCTTTTAAGATATCTCATTTTAGAAGTGGTGATAAAACAGGCTGGTTATTCTGCGGGGCTTTGCCATATGGAAAGAGGTGGTTTCTATTTGCAGGTTAGAAATTCATAGAAAAAGGACCTTTTTTTTTTCTTTTTGGGGGGATTTTGGGAATTTATGTAAGTGATATAGAGTATTGGGAAGGATGAAGACGGAATATAGTCATTTGTACATAAGTCATCGTTTTCTTGTACTTTCTTCATCTCCTTTTCCCTGCTTGTATGCGGAGGAGAGTCTTATTTGTTTTTACCCCAATAGGTTAGTGCCTTGTATGAATTAATTACCCTTTTCAGATGAAGTGGATAACAAGTGATCATTGTTATTCGGCAAAAAAAGCCTTCCAAAATTTTGTGAATATAGACCAACGTCTGTGACTGCCATCCAATAAAAATAAAAAGAAAAAAAAAACAGGCTCTCATGAAGGAGTTAAGTATTAGTATGCAAGAGTTTCATATGAAGTTCCAAGAAACTTTGATCTTTGATTTATCATGATCTTCTTACGCTTAAATAATGCGACGCCGTACGCCTAAGTTTGGTTGATGAACAAAATCATGAATAACGAATGGATCAACATTTCGAACCTGAAAAGCTTTGATTTTTAAGGTTTAAATCTCAAATTGATGTTGTACGTTGCCTTTTTGAGTTACAATTGGTTTTCAGGTGAAAACAATAAATCCAAAGAAGTATTGCGTCCGTCCCAACGCAGGGGTCGTCTTGCCTCGATCCACATTTGAAGTTATGGGCACACTAAATTAATTGTATTTTACTTTATATTTTACTGGTTCTATCTCTACTCAATATTGGATTCAGAATAAATTCTAGTACAATGGTTGATTTTGATT